TTCTTGCAAAATTGTCCATCATTGAAGACCTCCAAATTTAGAATTGTGGAAAAAGTTATGAAACCGAACCTTTTTTTTGTCAGAAAGACTGCGAATTCTGTTTGGTCAACAAACGGCATATAATATGTAATAAATAGTGTAACAGTAGTGTCAAAATCACAAGTGGAACATGTTCCTGTCAAAGGCCTTCCAGCCCTCACCTATAGCAGAGAACAAACCTAACAAAGTATTGCAATGCATGCCCATCACTACAATCCAGCCATGGAAACAGACACGCTGTATACACTAACTGTGGCCCCAGCTGATAGAGGGGTTAGTGCTTTCAATGCATGACGGTCTTATGCTGTCCACATTTGTTAAAAGTGCTGCACCACACGATGGCATAGACAGTCATGTGGTCGTTAAGGGTCACTATAGACCCTTAAGTAACGTTATCTTTTTTTTCCCATTTTGAAAAAAAGTGCAGATTTCAATAGAAATTGACTTTTATAAATGAATCTGGTTACACCCCCTTGGCATTCAAGCAGACAATAACCCTGTTAATTCCTGGTTTCGTTAGCTCAATGCAGCTGACCTCAAGAGGCAGCAATTGCTCAGAGCACCTGTCTTGCAAGGACTTCTCATTGAGCTGCATTGGGAAATCTGATATTGGACAGCCACATAAAGTCTGGGTGGGGTTAGAAAGGGAGAGCTTGCAAAGGCAGCAGACAAGAAAACTGCAGATTTTATATATAACCCAATGAAAAAAAATTCATTAAATGCATATAAAGAAAAACATGATGTATGGGATACGGCTGTATAAATTTAAATAAGGAACAAACAATATATAGTGTACAACTTAAATAAAAAAATGTGCGCTGTAAATGAATACACTCACAAAATGAAGACGTATAATGCGCTCAATGGTGCCTCCGATGTTATTGGGGGAGGCTGTTGGTCCCTCCTTCTGGTCTGTATAGGTAAATATGAAACAGGACTCCAAATGGTGAAGGTATAAAAGGTCAGCAGCTTTTATTATAAAAACAGTGATTATTCAGGTAATAAAAAAATAGGTCCTACGCGTTTCATTCCAGGCTTGGAACTTCCTCAGGGACCATAAAATCAATACAGTTACAACTTATGACAAAGCAGCCTAATACCTCCCACCCGCAAGTCCCTTTAAATAGGGCTAGTCCCTATGGATCCGTGGGTGTTCTCATTCATCCTCTGTCCTATTGGTGAGGTTGTAGCTCCTGTTCATCGGTTAAAATTCAGCAATCCTTCTCCCTCATCACGGTTAAAATCAAAACATCTGTGAATACCAGAACTGGAAGTGCGTTCCATGTAATACTTCTGCGTTCCACCATGGAAGAGATAAGACGTATATATGTCCCTCTAGTGGTCGCCAGATGTATTACATTACATGCGTTAATGAACAGAGGAAAAAAAAAAAACTACATATCTGCTAGAGAAAAATATTAATATTGTGTAATATACATTAAAAACAGAACATAATGTGCATATTTCATCAAGAGGATATAACCAACAATTTAACACTGAGTGGATGTAGTCGCCCTATATTTGATTATAATCTCAATATTAAAAATAAACCCCAAAAATTTTATCTGAGTGACAACTGCAAGATGGCCATAAATAGGTTTCGACTGATACTGATTTTTTTTAGAGCCAATACCCGATAACTTACTGATATTCTGTACATTTACCATTTCTTTTTACTATTTCTACACAAATCTATTGCTAACTGAACATGTTTATTTTATTTAATTTGCTAAAAAAAAATGTATTAAGGTAAATGCACAAAATATACATGTGATTTTTTTTTTGTTTTCAAGAATATATGTGTAGTGTATGCAGTAATTGATTAGTGGATGCAGAGTGTGTGTATATGTAGTTTGTCTGCATTCATTATATAGACACTACACAAACACTCACGGCACAGAGTGTGTATATAGAATGAATGCAGAGTGTGTGTATATAGAATGAATGCAGAGTGTGTGTATATAGAATGAATGCAGAGTGTGTGTATATAGAATGAATGCAGAGTGTGTGTATATAGAATGAATGCAGAGTGTGTGTATATAGAATGAATGCAGAGTGTGTGTATATAGAATGAATGCAGTGTGTGTATATAGAATGAATGCAGTGTGTGTGTATATGGAATGAATGCAGTGTGTGTGTATATAGAATGAATGTGTGTGTATATAGTGTGTGAATGAATGCAGAGTGTGTGTATATAGGATGAATGCAGAGTGTGTGTATATAGGATGAATGCAGAGTGTGTGTATATAGGATGAATGCAGAGTGTGTGTATATAGGATGAATGCAGAGTGTGTGTATATAGGATGAATGCAGAGTGTGTGTATATAGGATGAATGCAGAGTGTGTGTATATAGGATGAATGCAGAGTGTGTGTATATAGTGTGGATGAATGCAGAGTGTGTGTATATAGGATGAATGCAGAGTGTGTGTATATAGGATGAATGCAGAGTGTGTGAATGAATGCAGTGTGTGTGTATATAGAATGAATGCAGAGTGTGTGTATATAGGATGAATGCAGAGTGTGTGTATATAGGATGAATGCAGAGTGTGTGTATATAGGATGAATGCAGAGTGTGTATATAGAATGAATGCAGAGTGTGTGTATATAGGATGAATGCAGAGTGTGTGTATATAGGATGAATGCAGAGTGTGTGTATATAGGATGAATGCAGAGTGTGTGTATATAGGATGAATGTGTGTATATAGGATGAATGCAGAGTGTGTGTATATAGGATGAATGCAGAGTGTGTATATAGAATGAATGCAGAGTGTGTGTATATAGGATGAATGCAGAGTGTGTGTATATAGGATGAATGCAGAGTGTGTGTATATAGGATGAATGCAGTGTGTGTGTATATAGAATGAATGCAGAGTGTGTGTATATAGGATGAATGCAGAGTGTGTGTATATAGGATGAATGCAGAGTGTGTGTATATAGGATGAATGCAGAGTGTGTATATAGAATGAATGCAGAGTGTGTGTATATAGGATGAATGCAGAGTGTGTGTATATAGGATGAATGCAGAGTGTGTGTATATAGGATGAATGCAGAGTGTGTGTATATAGGATGAATGCAGAGTGTGTGTATATAGGATGAATGCAGAGTGTGTGTATATAGGATGAATGCAGAGTGTGTGTATATAGGATGAATGCAGAGTGTGTATATAGAATGAATGCAGAGTGTGTGTATATAGGATGAATGCAGAGTGTGTGTATATAGGATGAATGCAGAGTGTGTGTATATAGAATGAATGCAGAGTGTGTGTATATAGAATGAATGCAGTGTGTGTGTATATAGAATGAATGCAGAGTGTGTGTATATAGAATGAATGCAGAGTGTGTATATAGAATGAATGCAGAGTGTGTGTATATAGGATGAATGCAGAGTGTGTGCGCATTCATTATATACACACACACACTACACAAACACACTGCACAGTGTGTGTGTTTGTGCCGTGAATGTTTGTGTAGTGTGTATATAATGAATCAATTTGTTTGTGTAGTGTGTGCACATAATGAATACAGTGTGTGTGTTTGTGCAAGGAGTGTGTGTCTATAATGAATGCAGAGAGTGTGTGTGTTTGCATTCATTATAGACACTGCACAAACACACTACACAAACACACTACGCATTCATTATATACACACTGCATACACAGAGTGTGTGTGTGTTTGTGTAGTGTGTTTATGTATCTCCTCTGTTGGACATATACAGATACTTTGTTTTAATCCCTTTCATTACTTTGCTTTCCCCACGAACTTCACTTGCCAGCCGTTCGTAAATACGAACGATCGACCACCCGGCCCTTGGCGTGTGCCGCCAATTAAACAGTTTTGACCTCGGGTCTACCGGATAAACACACGAACCATCGACCACCTCCATGCAGACGTGTGCCAACAATTAACTGACGTGAGATTGCGGTCTGAGGTTAACCTCCACTTAATTGCGTGCCGTCAGGGTGGCCCCAGTTCGCATACTATGGCCCGAACGGACTACCGACCAATGAACGAACTATCTACCGAACGACGGCCACCTAGACCCTGTCGTGTGCCGCCAAGTTAAGTACCTGAGCCATGGTGGTCGCCGTTCGTATGCCCAACACGAGGCAGCGGCCATCTTTGTTTCATCGCAAGCTCAGCACGACATGGAGACAAACTCTCTGGAACTCTAAACGGCGACTGAACAGCACGAATCCCGCTTAAGGGCCTGGCGTTTCACCCAAAAAGCAAGAGACTGCCGCACAGACTTTTAAAACAGAATTCTGGCACACCGTTCGGGAGATCTGAACGCAATTCGTGTTACTTGTGCGCTCAGATCTGAGCTATCTGGCGAATGGTCGCATGAACGTTTTTTGTATTAAAATACCAAAGTTATGTATTTTTATGCTGTTTTACTGTATGTATAAAAATGGGGTTTTTTAATGCGCTTGGAGATAATTAGGTTATTGTACCCAATTATCTCCAAGCTAGGCGGGAACATTTTCAAATAATACACTGTTTTCATTGGTTGGAATATGTCATTGTCCTTTATTCCATCAGGTCCAGAGGGGGCTGTCCTTTGGCCTCAAAGTTGCATAAATTGCCGTGCAAGAGTACCAGTAAAGCAGTTCGTGTTACCCTCAAATCGCAGCCTCGACTCATTTTGTAGGGGAAAGGGTATCCTAGCTATGCTATAGCTAGTGGGATGATTCTACACTTGCAGGATTTCGCCGAATGAAGCTGCGTTCGTCTCTCTGGATTCGGGAACAAGGATATCCCCAGCAAGCCCGGGGCAACCGTAACATAATTAATTCAGAGTGTTTGTGTAGTTATGTTAAGTGTGTAAAATGGGGGTGGTGGGGCATTGTTTTTTTTAATTTTTTTTTTTTTTTTTTTATAATGTTTTAGTCTCCACTCCCATCTTCTTACTTGGCCAGGGAGAGTGGATATGGTATTTCCTGGAGGACCCACGGCAGTCCAGGGGGGCCCAGCAACTCCTTCAGTTCCCCGTCTAACTCTCGCGGCCAGCGTGCCGTGCAGAGCGTTGCCATGGTAACCTGTTTCAACACTGACGGCTGCGGGACTCGCAAGATTTACAAAGGGTAAAACGGAAGGGAGCTAAGAGCTTGCTGGGCCCCCCAGGATGCCGTGAGTCCTCCAGGACCCTGATGGCGGTCCTGGTCTGCATTACCGGCAATATTGGTATTGGCCGATACTTTTGTTGCAGAAAATTCAGAATATTGGCCAGACCGATAATCGGTCAACCCTTAGCCATAATTATAATTTTATGAATGTATTATGTCCTTATGACCATTAAAGAAAGATTATATTATGTGATTAGAAAAGCACAAATCCCTCTCTCTAAAAAATGTACGATGTTAATATATACAAACACCAATAATATAGTATCAAATGCTTCACTATTAGGATGCATCAAATATTCTTCTTGGAAAGAGTATATTATAAAAAATAACAAAATATATATATAAGCCACAAAAAAAGCAAGAGACCAAAATATAAAGAGAGAAACCCAAAGTTAAGAAGAGGAAAATTAAAACATTCCCTTAGTTACAAAAATCAGACCAAGTCTATGTCCACATTGAGTCCCTTTGGTTCTAGCGTCTGGCGTTTATGGATCCAATTGTTTCGTGTGGAGCTCATTTTTTCATCCTGTCACCTCCTCGCCAGTATGGTAGAACTCTTTCAATACCCTTACATTTGACATTTTTAATTGAAAAAAGGGGGCAGGCATTACAGTGAACCGGGACCGAATGTGTCATGAGTCCTTTTCTTATGTTAGTAAGATGTTCCAGTATCCGAACTTTAAGGATTATTTTAGTGCGTCCAATGTATTGTTTGCCACAGGGACACTGCAGTAAATAAACCACAAAGTCCATGTGGCATCCTATTTCTGATTTGATCTTATACGTGTCGCCTGTTGTGAAACTAGAGAATACACTGGTCCTCCGTATAGATGCAGTGACACAGGCCTTACAGGAATTGCACCCCCTAAACAATGCAAAATGTTCGCCATTTGGAACGCGTTAGTACTACATGGAACGCACTTCCAGGTCTGTTATTCACAGATGTTTTGATTTTAACCGTGATGAGGGAGAAGGATTGCTAAATATTAACCGATGAACAGGAGCTACAACCTCACCAATAGGACCGAAGATGGATGAGAACACCCACGGATCCACCAATGGACATAGGGACTAGCCCTATTTAAAGGGACTTGCGGGTGGGAGGTATTAGGCTGCTTTGTCATAAGTTGTAACTGTATTGATTTTATGGTCCCTGAGGAAGTTCCAAGCCTGGAATGAAACACGTAGGACCTATTTTTGTTTTATTACCTGTGGGTGATTATTCGCCGTTTTTATAATAAAAGCTGCTGACCTTTTATACCTTTACCATTTGGAGTCCTGTTTCATATCTACCTATACGAACCAGAAGGAGGGACCAACAGCCTCCCCCAATAACATCGGGGGAGGCACCCTTGAGCGCATTATACGTCTTCATCTTGTAAGTGTATGTATTTACAGCGCATATTTTTTTTATTTAACCCCTTAAGAACGGAGCAAAATGTAAAAGTTGTGATCAAAACAAAACGTAAACAAAATCTGGAATTTGCGCGATATCTGTCCAACCGTTATTCACCTCTCATATTAAGTACACCAACACTTATATATAATTTTATTCAGGGAAAACAGGGCTTTCATTTAACATCAAATATTTAGCTATGAAACAATTTAATATCTATAAAATAAATTGGGAGAAAATAAATTATTTTTTTAGTTCTATATGACATTTTAACTGTGAATGTCATAATACTATTTGCTTTTACTGCATTAAAATACATATTTGTGTTCAGCGATGTCTCATGTGTAAAACAGTACCCCCTATGTACAGGTTTTATGGTGTTTTGGGAAGTTACAGGGTCAAATATAGCATGTTACATTTGTCAGTTTTTTCACACTGAAATTTGCCAGATTGGTTAAGTTGCCTTTGAGACCGTATGGTAGCCCAAGAATGAGAATTACCCCTATGATGGCATACCATTTGCAATAGTAGACAACCCAAGGTATTGGTAGCCACTTGGTCACAAACACTGGCCAAAGTTAGTGTTAATATTTTTTGTGTGTGTGAAATGTAAAAAAATAATTTGAACGCCAATTTCGGCCAGTGTTTGTGACTAAGTGGCTACTAAAAAAGACTGGACATACCCCATTTGCAATACATTGGGTTATCTACTGTTGCAAATGGTACGTCATCATGGGGTTAATTTTCATTCCTGGGCTACCATACGGTCTCAAAGGCAACGTAACCAATCTGACAAATATCAATGTGAAAAAACTGAAATGCAAGCCTTATATTTGGCTAACTTTTAAAAACACCATAAAACCTGTACATGGGGGGGGGGGGGAGAAACTGTTATACTCGGGAGATATTGCTGAACACAAATATTTGTGTTGCAAAACATATCAACTATATTGTCAGTTTAAGTGCCATTTGTGTGTGAAAAATGCAAAAAAATATAACTTTCTCTGACAATATCGTTGTAATACATTTTACCGTCTTGAAACACTAATATTTGTATTCACCGAAGTCTTCCGAGTAAAACAGTACCTCCCATGTACAGGTTTAATGGGGTCTTGGAAAGTTACAGGGTTAAAGCGGCACTGTCATGCCGAACTTGCCTTTCCTCAATCTCTTCCTCTTCTCCCCCTCTCTCAGGATCTGTTCTTCTTTAGTTTTCTTTAAAATCATAAGACAAAGTAGGGACTCTTTGCCTTATGGAGGATTCCTCCGCTTGACCAGCTCTGACCAGCGGAGGAGCAAAGTGTGCTTCATTTCCGCTGGTCAGAGCAATTTTCCCATGATCCTTACCTTCCCTCTGTGTTCCCGAGATGCTTCCTGTCATTTTACACGAAACTGCCGAATTGCGTTCTTACTGAATGACAACAGTCTGTTCGTTTCTTTTAGAACGCAATTCGGCATTTTATTCGGATCGGTATTTCATTCGAATGAATGAAACTCCGATCCTATTCATTGCTGTGGCTGCATCTTGCAGCCGCTTAGTATATAGCTCCCTAATACCGTGAATACCGGAATTAGGAAGGTATCTACTAAAAGGCTGAAAGACCTAAATTGGTCTTTCAGCCAACTTTACCAATACTAATTAAAGATTACTTAGTATTAGTAAATAATATGCCCCTACTCGCTATACCGCGAGGGGTGGGGGCCGGGGGGGGGAAGGACAGTAGGTCCCCCCCCCTCATTATCATTATGGCCCCCACACGCCGCCCAGGGGTGGGGGCCAGGGGGGGTAGGACAGTAGATCCATCCCCCCTCATCATTTGGCCCCCCCCGCCGCCCAGCGGTCGGGGCGGGGGGGGGGGACGCAGTAGGTCTCCCCCTCCCCATTATCATTTGGCCACCACCCGCCAAGTTTTGGCCTTGCGGTCGGTCCCCGTTCGTGCATTGAAAACCCACGAAAATCTTGCCATCCACAGTTATCTTGACGTTCGCCGGAATCCCCATGCATAGTTTAATCTTTCTACCGAACGGCCGGCCGTTCGCCTGTTTGCGTATCAGTTTTTAGTTCCACACGATTGATGGCAAAACACCGCTGTTTGTGCGTAAAATGGCCGCGAACACGTGCAAAGTCCAGAAATGGCGGCCACCTATACTTTACACAAAGGATTCGTGCTGAACCATGCGAACGGCTGTGCTGGTCTGGGAGGTAAAGTATCACTTAACTTTACTTCAGGGTGGTCCTGTGTTCGGTAGTTTGGATTCGTTTTCTTGGGCAATAGTGGTTCGCATAAACAGGCAAGTCGGTTCATTTGTATATCCACGGTATGCAATGGTTAAAGAAGTCCAGACAGAAATTGTAGTCCTGTCACATCTGCTTTTACATCCTGTATTATGATCAACATGAGATCTAGTGACATTTTGTTTAGAACTTCTATCCAATCCCGGCATACCTTGGGCTTTTGTTCTACCTATCGTGGGGATATTCATGATGCGAAACATCAGGAACGTCTATGGGCGCAGCCATGGCGTCAATGTACGCGAATGCGTAAATGTATATCTTTGAAACGGAACATATAATAAAGCCATTTCAACAAAGCATCATAAAATACTTTTGTTTCATAGATGATATCTTACGGGGAGGTAGAATAGCACAAGCTCATGAAATGGTGAAATACATCAATGAATTACCAAGACTGGTATGGATGATGGCTGTTGTAAGCACAGAAAAAGTCCAATTTTTAGACGTGGAGTTGTCAGTAGGATTGCCTATAGTCTCTACTCCAAGCCCACGGACAGCAACACAATATTACACCACACCAGTTCCCACCCAACCAGTTTGAAAAATTCCATACCGCGAGCACAATTCCTCAGGGTTATGAAAAATAACTCAAAAGAAACAGTGAAACAGAAACAAATACTTGAGATGAAGATTACATTTTTGGAAAGGAGTCTGAAGGAGTCTTAAATAGAGTGTTGGAAGAAGCTAAGAAAAATGCGACCACGTGGTAAGACACCACTACAAACCCTAAATTAGTCTTCCCCATGACATTTCACAATAAGTCACAGAAAATATCTGATATTGTGAGGAGTAACTGGAATATGCTAGCATGGGATAATACCCTACCAAGGGAATTCAAGGAACCAGCAAGGATTTGTTACCGAAGGAACAGGAATTTGAAAGATATAGTAATGAGAACAGACCCCGAAGAAAGTTACACTGAACAAAACAAAACACAAGTGTTTAGGGTGCGTGACGTGTGGTCATATGGTTTCATCATGAAATTTTAGCCACCCACATAAAAACAAGATCTACAATATACCATAACATGTAGAACAGCTTTTGTTATCTATAAAATATCATGGCCTTGTGGCTTGGTCTACATTGGGAAAACCGAGACACAACTATGTGACCGAATCAGAGGGCATAGATCTAACATAAGGACGGCGTATAGAGATGGACATACTGATAAACCGGTGGCGAAACATTTCAGTACAAACATCCATTAACTACCAATAGATCATGTGCCACAGTCCAGAAGGGGTGGAGATAGAGGCAATGCATTATTGAGACGAGAGACATTTTGGATACAAGAATTGGACAGAGTTGCACCCAGAGGATTGAATGAAATGGTATCGCACCATTCATTTATATGAACATCTTTAAGAGGAAGAACTGACCTCCCAGAGTTATAGATAAAGTTACCAGAAATTCTGTTATTAGTTCAGAGGAAAGTTAAATTTTTTAGAACGACAGATGGAATGAATATAAGTACCTATGAAGTATAGAGATAGATATAGTAAAGATTGTTTAACCTAAATGTATAATATATATTATAGAGACATATCACGTTATGCACTTTAATGTATAGAGAAACATAATTCACTTTTCAGCACTTTAATGTAGATAAGGCGCATGCATCCCTTTAACTTTTTCACTTTAAGCACTTTCATATACATAAACAGCAAATGTGTCACTTTGATAGTAAAAGCACTTTAATGTACATATGTCTAAAAGCTGGGGGAGTCACTTTAAGAGATGAAAAAGCACTTTCTTGTACATATACCGTATATACTCGAGTATAAGCCGACCCGAATATAAGCCGAGGCCCCTAATTTTACCCCAAAAAACTGGGAAAACGTATTGACTCGAGTATAAGACTAGGGTGGAAAATGCAGCAGCTACTGGTAAATTTCTAAATAAAATTAGATCCTAAAAAAATTATATTAATTGAATATTTATTTACAGTGTGTGTATATGATGAATGCAGTGTGTGTGTATAAACGCAGTGTGTGTGCGTGATGCAGTGTGTGTGCGTGATGCAGTGTGTGTGCGTGATGCAGTGTGTGTGTGATGCAGAGCCTTGGTGGGGGGTGGGCATTTTTTATAAAAAAAAAAATATATATTTTAATTTTTTGTTATATTATTTTTTTTAATTATTTTTAATTATTATTTATATTTGTATATTATTAATTAATATTATTTTAATTTTTTCGTTATATTATTTTTTAAATTATTTTTTTTATTATTATTTATATTTATGTATTATTATATTTATTTATTTGTTGTCCCCCCTCCTTGCTTGATACATGGCAGGGAGGGGGGCTCTCAATCCTTGGTGGTCCAGTGGCATTGGCAGTTCAGTGGGGGGAGGAGGGGGGCTGGCAGAGCTGTTACTTACCTCTCCTGCAGCTCCTGTCAGCTCCCTCCTACTCCGCGCCGGTCCATGCAGCTCTTCTGTCAGCTCACACTGTAAGTCTCGCGAGAGCCGCACTATGACCCCGCGGCTCTCGCGAGACTTACACTGGGAGCTGACCGAGGTGCTGCACGGACCGGCGCAGAGGAGGAGAGAGCTGACAGGAGCTGCAGGAGAGGTAAGCGCTCGCTACCAGCCCCCAGTCTGTATTATGGCAATGTAAATTGCCATAATACAGACAGTGACTCGAGTATAAGCCGAGTTGGGGTTTTTCAGCACAAAAAATGTGCTGAAAAACTCGGCTTATACTAGAGTATATACGGTAGATCACTTCAGGGCACTTTAATGTACATAATAGCAAGAGTATCACTTTATGGCATATAAAAAGTATTTCTATGAATAGGAAATAGATAATATTTATAAGCACTATTGCAAAATCAAAACACAATACAACATAGGGTACAGCACCTTAATGATAAATAAGATATGTCACTTTAAATATATTAGAAACAATCTTTTAGAACTTCCAGCAGAAATGTATACCTACATAGCTTATTGTTTATTTGTTACGTACCATTAAGTTTAGATGAATCTGTAACTTATAAGACCTCTGAGAAAAACCGTAAGGGTAATGCTTTAAATATTTTAAATTTTTTCCTTGAATGGTTGTGTATGCTATTAGATCGGTGCACAGAGGGAACTTGTTTACCCAGTTGCCGGGGAGCCTGTAGAGGCATCGGGTAACCCTGGCAACGAACGGTGACATCATTCCGCAGCTTCCGGGTAGCGGAATGCTTGCGCATGCGCAGATGGGCTTGAGGGACGCCAAGGAGGAGTGATAGCAATACAGATTGTGAGTGATTTATTTAGCTATATAAGTGTATTTGTGCTGAATTGATCCTGATGAAAGCTACGGACGTTGGCTGAAACGTTGATAGGATTTTAAAGAAATGACATAAAGGAATCTTTTAAAGAAAACCAAGACCGTGAGTGCAAGTCTAAGTGTATTTTAATATATATATATATATATATATATATATATATATATATATATATATATATATATATAAATAAATAATCAAAATACACATAGAATGATATTGATTATATATATTTATATATAATATAAAATAAATATGTAAATACATAAAAAAATATATGTGTAATTTGATAATATATGTCAGGGATCGACCAATATTGATTTTTTTTAGAGCAGATACCGATACTCTGAGCATTTACCATTTTGAAAAAATAAACTATTTCTAAGGGTAAATGCACAAAATATACAAGCCACATGCAGTGGATGCAGTGTGTTTAGACAGTGGAGCTGTGTGTATTTGTGTAGTGTGTATATAATGAATGCAGGCTGTGTTTGTATAGTGTGTATAGTTAATGCAGTGACTGTAGTGTGTGTATAGTTAATGCGCGACTGTAGTGTGTGTATAGTTAATGCGTGACTGTGTATATAAGTAATGCAGAGTGTGTGTTTGTGTAGTGTGTGTATACTGAATGTAGTGTGTGGTGTGTAAAGGGAATGCGGGGTGTGTGTGTAGTGTTCGTAAAGTGAGTGCAGTGTGTATAGCAAATGCAGTGTGTGTATATATATATATATATATATATATACATACACATACACACACATACATACACACACACACACACCACATTATATACAGAGTGTGTAGTGTGTGTATATAATACAGAGTGTGTGTTTTCCTGAAGGGATGTGATTTGTGTAAAAGGGGGAGAATGCATTTTTTATTTAAATTTGTAATGTTTATGTTTTATTTATTTTTTTGTCCCCCTTCCCTGCTTGTTACCTGGCCAGAGCCGATACCGATAATCTGTGAACTTTCAGGCCGATAGCCGATAACTTGCCGATATTTTGAAAAAAATAAACTAGTTCTAAAGGTAAATGCACAAAATATACATGCCACATGTAGTGAATGAAGTGTGCTTAGACAGGGAAACTGTGTGTGTTTGTGTAGTGTGTATAGTGAATGCAGTGTGTGTGTAGTGTGTAGTGTGTATATATAATGAATGCAGTGTGTGTGTAGTGTGTATATATAGTGAATGCAGTGTGTGTGTATATATATAGTGAATGCAGTGTGTGTGTATATATAGTGAATGCAGTGTGTGTGTATATATAGTGAATGCAGTGTGTGTAGTGTGCATATAGTGAATGCAGAGTGTGTGTATATATAGTGAATGCAGAGTGTGTGTATATATAGTGAATGCAGTGTGTGTGTGTGTAGTGTATATATAGTGAATGCAGAATGTGTGTTTGTGTAGTGTGTGTATAGTGAATGCAGAATGTGTTTGTGTAGTGAGTAATGCAGTGTGTGTTTGTGTAGCATGTATATAATGCAGTGTGTGTGTGTGTGTGTAGCATGTATATAATGCAGTGTGTGTGTGTGTAGCATGTATATAATGCAGTGTGTGTGTGTAGCATGTATATAATGCAGTGTGTGTGTGTAGCATGTATATAATGAAGTGTGTGTAGTGTGTGTGTATATAATGCAGTGTGTGTGTGTATATAATGCACTGTGTGTAGTGTGTGTAGTGATGTAAGTTGTGTAAAATGGGGGGGCCTTTTTAAATATTGTAATTTTTTTTTTTTTATTTAGTCCCCCTTCCCAGCTTATTAGCAGGGAGGGGGGGGATATAGTATTCCCTGATGGTCCAGTGGGTTATTAAGTACTGGGGGGGTTGCAGGAAGCTGTTTCTTACCTTTCTTGCAGCTCCTCCAGTCCTGTGTAAAAGCCCCCCCCCCAGGACTGCCGGGCTTGTAATGGGCCTGGCGGTCCTAGGAGGTATTATCGGCAATATCTTAAAGAAACATTGGAGGGGTAGGGGTCTACCATTTGGGTACCACTTTATTTCAGGCAAAAATACTATTGAATTAAAGGGACACTGTAGGTACCCAGACCACTTCAGCTAATTGAAGGAGTCTGGGTGAAGTGTCCCTCTTGCAATGTTTACATTGTAGCTCTATGTTTGCCCTCAGTGTCTAACAAATAGCCGCTAGAGGGCTTCCAGAATCGAAATGGATCTTTGGTCCGTTATTTGACACTGGACATCCTCACGCTCTACATGTTGTGTCATATTTTTCCCCATGGGAAAGCATTGATGAATGTTTTCCAATGACGAAAGTCTAACGCATGCACGGCCATTGCAGCGCGTGTGCATTAGGTCTCTCTCCAGCCGGCTGACTTTCGGCGGAGAGGAGCCTGACCCAGCGCCGAGGTACATTGGCGCTGGATTCAGAAAAGTGACTGAATGGGATTTAACCTGGCACTATAGAAAACAAAAAATAAATATTCAAACTCTCTCTAAATAGCTACCAGTGTCAATCTTTTTTTTATTCCTGTAGTTTTGTAGAATTGTACAGACTATACTTTTCCTTATTTATAACAGCCAGGCTGACAAAATGTGACACTTGGCGGAGCTCAAAGCTTCTGTTATCAGATTAACCCACAATACATCAGTACAATCAATCTCACGGAAGGAAAACGGCAGACATCACGGACAAAGGAAAACAAAATGGCAGCTCCCATGTATTGAGATCCAGCACAAGGAAGAAAAGATAAAAAAAATGAAGGCAAGTGGTAAAAAGGACGTACTCATTAACCCCACAGGACAACTGGCAACTGTATACATTCAAAACAAAACCTTGGATTTGCCTACATGTCATATTAAATGCACCCACACTTATTATATATAAATTATATATCAAACTATTTTATATGAATAAGACCTAAAAAGGTAAAAGATTAAGAAATGTTATTTTCTTAGTTCTGCGTGACATTTTACAGCAATAAAATGCACATGTAGCAATCTCCCCCCCCCCCAATGTACAGGTACTTTAGTCCACCCCCCCCAAATGTACAGGTACTTTAGTCCACCCCCATCCCCAAATGTACAGGTACTTTAGTACACCCCATCCCCTAAATGTACAGGTACTAAATGTTTAGTCCACCCCCCAAATTTACAGGTACTTTAGTCCACCCCCTGCCCCACAAATGTACAGGTACTTTAGTCCTCCCCACATGTAAAGGTACTTTAGTCCACCCCCCCTCTCCCCAAATGTACAGGTACTTTAGTACACCCCACCCCAAATGTACAGGTACTTTAGAACACCCCCACAATATACAGGTACTTCAGTACCCCAATTAGGTCTCGCCATAATTGTGATGATACAGGAGGAGGTGAGGCCTAGCCAGCAACAAGGAAGCCTCAAATTATACCAAATAAAGTGTACACAAACTAATTGGGCAACAGTAACAACACATCACAAAGGTATATTTGCACAGCACCTAAAATGGTAGTCCCTCATCATGGAGGCAGATATGCAAAGAACTAATACTGTTTAAATTTCTAGAAACATTAAAAAAATCTCTATAAAGCATTGAGACCATACAAGCGGTTTAGTTCAGTTATAACAGCTCATAACAAAGGAAGGCAAACGATTCCATTAACACTATAAATACAGCGTGAGGGTGGGTGCCAGCAAAAACGGAGGAATCGCTGCTCTGGTGTTCATCAAGAGAGACATGGAAACATTTAACAGAAAAGCAACGAAGGACTGGCTGCTGGGAATTCGATATAAACAAAATGACAGGAGAACGAGCATTGCAAAGCAGGCACACACAGCAGTAACCCTCAAAGGTCTAAGCCTGGTGACTGCATCCAGTCCCGGCCAACTGCATCTGAATCACAGGCCAAAGCAGCAGCTTATTCCAGCTAGGCCCTCCACAGCCCAGTCCAATAGTCAGGTTTGTTCAGTTACGTAGAACCTTTAACCCTTAGGGACCAACGCTAGTTTATGCCATTACAGGACGGTTTTCACAATGATGCGTATCATTTAATGTTAACTGGACTTTCCTATGGGAGACAAATGACAATGGTCTCCAAGGTGTTAGTTACATCAATAAAATTGTAGTCCCTTTATAAATGTCAGCTAACTTTGTTCTGGCTTTTAATATCTGTAATATATATTTTACTGCAAACAGGGTCAGCGTAGCGTCTATGCAATAAAGACTGAGTCATTAACTGGTTAAGTCCCTGAATAGGGAAGGCTTGACTGGCAAATTCATATAGGAGCATTACACAAACATTTTCCTGGGAACCGAAAAACTTGTCTTCCAATATACCATCCATTTTAGATGAAAAAGTAAGAGGAAGTTCCCAGCCTATCACATCACATCACATCACTGGAAAGCCCAGGATGTCCTCTTTATAATCCAGTTTGGATTAGAAACATAGAATGTGACAGCAGATAAGAACCATTCGGCCCATCTAGTCTGCCCAATTTTCTAAATACTTTCATTAGTCCCTAGCCTTATATTATAGTTAGGATAGCCTTATGCCTATCCCACGCATGCTTAAACTACCTCACTGTGTTCTTCTACCACCTCAGCTGGAAGCCTATTCCATTGGGGCCCGTTCGTACATTCGAATGGGACTTAGTCGTTTTCTCTATGTGAACAGATTTTAACATTGGAAATAGACCGGCCGCACAGCCAAACTCTGTGGAACTGTTTTGGGCAGGAAATCCTGCTTGCGGTCAGTCAAAAGAGGCTTCCCAAAAACTTTAACCCCATGGCAAATTTACTTTGTTTGTGGGATCTGATCACCTATATTGGGCGCGCAGATCCGAGCTATCTGGGGATAGGTTAAATGTGGGGGTTCTGTGTAATATAAGAATTATGTATTTTTATGTATTTTTGCTGTAAAATGTAAAAGTTATTTTCTGTACCTGGATATAATTGAGTTTACTGCAGTGCCTTAAAGCGGCACGGTCATGCCAAACTTACCTTTCCTCAATCTCTTCCTCTTCTCCCCCTCTCTCAGGATCTGTTCTTCTTTAGTTTTCTTTAAAATCATAAGACAAAGTAGGGACTCTTTGCCTTATGGAGGATTCCTCCGCTTGACCAGCGGAGGAGCAAAGTGTGCTTCATTTCCGCTGGTCAGAGCAATTTTCCCATGATCCTTACCTTTCCTCTGGGCGGCGGCTGGGGCCATAAAGATAATGGGGGGGGACCTACTGTCCATCCCCCCTCCGGCCCCCACCCCTGGGCAGCGGGTGCGGGCCATGAAGATAATGGGGGGGGGGGACAACCTACTGTCCAACCCCCCTCCGGCCCCCACCCCTGTGCGGCGGGTGGAGGCCATAAAGATAATGAGGGGGGGGACCTACTGTTCTCCCCCCCCCCGGCCCTAAGTCAATTTCCCCCCTCCCCACCAAGGTGACTAGGGGTCCCCAAGCCCCTAGTCACCCACCCCCCCACCCAAATAAAAAGTCCCTACCTACCCCCCTCACCCTAAAAAATAGTGAGGGGGGAATAAAATAAATAGCCTGTAAAATAAAATTAAACTTACCATTCGACTTCTTTTTTCTCAAATCGTCATTTTTCAGCCCCAAAAAAGGCCAAATAAAAAAATCATAACCGTCGAATTGAAAATAAAAATCCTGAGCGCAAAAAAAAAAAAAAAAAATTAGGCTAAGAACACTCTGATTGCTGGGTTTAAGCCAGAGTGCTCTTTGTCATTTTACACAGCATGGGAAAATTCAAAAGAATTTTCCCACGCTGTGTAAAATGAGACAGAGCACTGTGATTGGATGGCTTGAAATCCATTTGGCCCCCACCCGCCGCCCAGGGTTGGGGGCAGGACAGTAGGTCCCCACCCCCCATTATCTTCAAGGCCAATAGTTTTTTTTTTTTTTTTTTTTTTTTTACAGTGAGCAGCCACAGGCTGCTCACTGTTTAGTGGACATGCCCCTACTCACGGTATAGCGAGTAGGGGCATTGGGGAGATGTCACAGAGTGAGGGAGGACTGCCACTTCTATAGTTACATATTACAAGGAGGGAGCTGAGTGCCGGTAGCTCCCTCCTTGTAATAAACTGCACGAACAAACGAACACTGATACACAGTGTTTGTTTGTTCGGCTGATCTTTCTATTCATTCATTCATTCGTCTGTCTGATGAATGAGTGAATAGATGAAATTCCCGTTCGCATGTCCAGGTGTTTCACTGGGCATGTGCGGGAATCTCACAGTCTAGCTAGTGTGGGCTGATGACGTGTCCCACAGGGACTTCATCTACCATACAAAGATGGCGGCGCCCTGAATAAAGATCGGGGCAGAAAACAAGGAATAAAAAATAGGTAATGTGGAGGGCTTAGGGGCATTTGGGGGTGACTAGGGTGTTAGTTAGATGTAGTGGAGGCAAGAGGGGGGTAAAAAAAAGCTGGATTCGGCATGACAGTGCCGCTTTAAGCCAATTATGTCCAGGATGGAGAGGAGGGATTTCATTGTATATGTGGGAGTGTTATTCTGTTAGTGTTTCCATTGGTTTGTGTCCCTTTTGTCACAGTTTACCACCAGGTCCAGGGGGTGTGCCTCTGGCCTGAAAACTTGTATATAAGGAGGAATAAACGCTCATTGGAGTCAGATCATCTTGTACCTTCATGAAGTTTCGGCTCATGTTTGGGGGATTGGAGAACTACACTCTGGGGATTGCTATAATCACTATACTCCCTAGGGTATGATCACTAAGCTCTGCTAAGAGCTTGTCCCTGTTCCTGCTCTCTGGAATTTGGAGAGGTCAACCTACTGGAAGCTGGACCCTAGTCTTGGGTCCAGAGTGTGCGGAGACGGCGAGACCCCAACCAAGCTGCGGCGGTTCGTGGGGTGTGCAATGGTTATGGTGTCAGGTGGAGTGCTTGGGAGACCTCGGAAGCATCCGTCAGCGGAAGGTACCCGGGCGGGGTGCCAGCAGTTCCGTTACACCTACCAAGATTGAGGTACATTATGCGGACTACGGGGACACCGATACGATCGTGGACACTCAATGTGAACCCCTATTCGAACCTGATGACCTATGTCATCCAGTGGTCTCCTCAGACAATGTAGCCAAGTATATTGCATCCAGAGTACGCAAGCCTTTTGAGAAGGCAAAGTGAAATAAATTGCGGGCTGAATTGCCACGCCGAACAGTCCCTGATGACTCATGTAAAACGCTATCAGTCGATCCTAAGATCATTCAATTCCTGAGTAAGAAATTTTCATTGCAAAATTGTCAGGATAAAATCCTGGGCATCTTGGGCTCAGCAGCCAAGATCTTTGAAGCAGTAGAGGATGATCTAGAATTAGATTGCGCCATCTTAAGTGGTTAGATCCAGAGTGTGATTTAAGTTGGCAACGCCAACAATGCGGTTGTCACAGAACGCCGCAAATCGATCTTGCTCAAGACTGAGCCCAAACATGCATCTATGGCTCTGAACGAGCCAGGTAACACAGGCAAAAGGTTCTCTTTGGGGAGAACTTTATAAAAGAATTGGGCACCTTTGTCCAGCTAAACAAACAGAAGTTCATTTAGACAGAACCAAGGCCCTTATACTGGCCGAGCCGATTTCTTTGAACAATGCACTATACCAAACTGGTAAAAGTGGGTAAAGGCTGCGCTAGGAACTTAAATATAGTAATTAATGACAGTAAAGACCAGGCCAAATGGTCTCAATGAATAGATAACACCAAAATAGGCCTATAAAAAAAGTCTCTATAAAATCGAATAAAAGAGTCCTTCCAAATGGAAAAATGTTCGATAAAAATAAATAAATGAAACGTCTCACTGATATAGCTGGATGGGATATGTATACAGTCCTCAGGAGCTGATCCGTCCGGGTTGCAAAATAATCCGTACAGTGCTCTCAGTTTGAAAAAATTATTAAAAACTTACACGTATAGAGCAGAAGATACTGCTCTATTAACACAGCACTGGTGGAATAATCCCCACCTGGGATTTCTTGAATCAGGATACAATAGAAATGCCAGGAAGAGTAAATAAAAAGTGCATATAAAATACAATAAAATGAGGATTGGTCCTATAAAAAAGGTAACCAAAAAAACATTTCTTGTTTAAAATACACAATTTAAAACCATTAACGCGTTTCACCTTTAAGGCTTTATCAAAATGGTAGTATAACATTGTACCTGGCAAGAAACAGTATTTATAAGGGTATGTGATAATTAAAATTGGCACCAAAAAACAGATTAACCAATTGCAAACATATTAAAAAACATTTTTAAAACAAAATAACGAATATACATGTATATAGGGTAGGCTAGTATGAACTATATAATATAGTTATTTGTGAAAAACAAGGCTTATTTATGATTTTTATAAAACCCTAAAATCACATGACCGGAGCTAGGCTCCATGGGAAATGTAGTTACTTTAGGGAGGGCGGCGCCCGACAAGCAGCTCGCTCTGCCCACTAATATTTAGCCACTCCCCGCAAAGCAGCACGGGACCGGCATGATTTGGAGCAAAGCTCCATGGGAAATGTCATGTCGGTCGGCGTGCGCACGGAGGAGGCGGCGGCGAGCGGTTCACTATTGGTAATGGTAGTGAGCCGCTCCCACAGGGGAGGAGACTATGTAAGGATGGCATAGGAGACCAAAATACCTGACGGAAATACAGAGATTCATGCTGTCGATAGAAAAATAAATAAATAAGTGAATTAATATAAAATTAAAGGCTCTAATTATTGCCCTAATTATTGCTCTAATTATTTCAATATGATGTCTTAATAAATAAAATATATATAAAAAAAGGTATATTATAATATACATAATTATGGGGAAACGTATTTTCAATTAATAAAAACAAATATTGATCTGAATATAAAACATTGGGTTCTATTTTTGAATAGATATTATAAAATGCTCAAATAATTAAAATATTGAAACAAACAGTTCCATAACCAAAAATGTGACATATAGTATTAATAGTATGCATACTCATAAAAAGTTACAGATCAAAATCTGCATTTAAACCATGAGGTGTGAGGGTCTGTAACCTGTAGACCCATTCCATTTCAGTTTTTCCTAGGACATTTTTTATATCGCACTCTCTCCAGGGTAAAGTGCATTTTTTTATCCCCATACATTTTAAGGTCTTTATTGTGGTTAATAAAATGTTTGGATACTGAGTGATTTAAGTATCCATTTTTGATGTTTCTGCAATGTTCGCTCAATCTAATTTTTAAGCACCTTGTGGTCATTCTAACATACTGGAAGCCACATGGGCATTCGAGCAGACCATTTTTAAATATGTAAGAGATAAAATAGAGAACCAAATAGTAACATCTTAAAGTACAATAAGGTTTTTAAAGTTTATTATATTGTATGCCTATTATGAAATTCTTGTTTCTACATTGTTTAAAACTTGATTGTTTCTAACCAAAAATTTTGTTTGGCTGTTCACAATTTTGGCGCCAATTTCAAAGGTCTGAATTTGCTATTTAAACTCTTTCTTGCCAGGTATCAGGTTCTTATTCCATATTGATAAAGCCGTATTGGCGAAACGCGTTTATGGATATTATATTGTGTATTTTTATATATTAAAGATTATTCGGTCACTCTTTATTTGTGCCATTTATCTTTTGATACACCTTAGATTTTTACCTGGCATTTTTTTATCCTGGACTCCAAGTAATCCTAGGTGGGGATCATACCACCAGCGCTATCTTCAAGGAGCAGTCGGTCTGCTCCTTTCTTGTGAGTACCATTTTATATATTTTATTTCCAGTATTTTACCCAGTGAGCACTATTGGTTGTCTCTTTTTATCTGAGTGTTGAATATACCACTGACAGAGGAAGTCTACCCTATATCCCATAAGCGGGGATTGTACCGCTGTACGCCTGTCATACTAGAGCGAGTTATAGCTCTTGTAAATGTGAGTTTTATACCTTTTATTATTAAACCTATTGCACTATTTGGTTCTCTATTTTATCTCTTACATATGAGTGGACCTATACGGAGGAGAACAGCAAGGACAATTGTTCTGGAACAAGCATTTTAGATAAGACTATTTTTTAAATTTTTCTTTATTTGGACTATTTGTTATTTTTATTCCATAATAAGTTTCTCTGGTGCAGCCCTTATTTTTCTCACCTTTGTTATTTCTTAAGGGTGTTTGAGGGATTCCCTTAAAGGGTTGCTGCCTATTTGTTATTTAGCGCTTACTCCTTGTTCTGTTTTTAAATTACATTTTTAGTATTGCAACTTATGAACTCCTTAATATTGTACATTATTCTAGTCCTATTTGAAGTAAATTGCTTCAGCTTAGATGGTGATGTGGAATCGGTGGGGAGCACTATTGGTTGTCTCTTTTTATCCGAGTGTTGAATATACCACTGACGGAGGAAGTCTACCCTATATCCCATAAGCGGGGATTGTACCGCTGTACGCCTGTCATACTAGAGCGAGTTATAGCTCTTGTAAATGTGAGTTTTATACCTTTTATTATTAAACCTATTGCACTATTTGGTTCTCTATTTTATCTCTTACATATGAGTGGACCTATACGGAGGAGAACAGCAAGGACAATTGTTCTGGAACAAGCATTTTAGATAAGACTATTTTTTAAATTTTTCTTTATTTGGACTATTTGTTATTTTTATTCCATAATAAGTTTCTCTGGTGCAGCCCTTATTTTTCTCACCTTTGTTATTTCTTAAGGGTGTTTGAGGGATTCCCTTAAAGGGTTGCTGCCTATTTGTTATTTAGCGCTTACTCCTTGTTCTGTTTTTAAATTACATTTTTAGTATTGCAACTTATGAACTCCTTAATATTGTACATTATTCTAGTCCTATTTGAAGTAAATTGCTTCAGCTTAGATGGTGATGTGGAATCGGTGGGGAGCACTATTGGTTGTCTCTTTTTATCCGAGTGTTGAATATACCACTGACGGAGGAAGTCTACCCTATATCCCATAAGCGGGGATTGTACCGCTGTACGCCTGTCATACTAGAGCGAGTTATAGCTCTTGTAAATGTGAGTTTTATACCTTTTATTATTAAACCTATTGCACTATTTGGTTCTCTATTTTATCTCTTACATATGAGTGGACCTATACGGAGGAGAACAGCAAGGACAATTGTTCTGGAACAAGCATTTTAGATAAGACTATTTTTTAAATTTTTCTTTATTTGGACTATTTGTTATTTTTATTCCATATTAAGTTTCTCTGGCACAGCCCTTATTTTTCTCACCTTTGTTATTTCTTAAGGGTGTTTGAGGGATTCCCTTAGAGGGTTGCTGCCTATTTGTTATTTAGTGCTTACTCCTTGTTCTGTTTTTAAATTACATTTTTAGTATTGCAACTTATGAACTCCTTAATATTGTACATTATTCTAGTCCTATTTGAAGTAAATTGCTTCAGCTTAGATGGTGATGTGGAATCGGTGGTCTTGCATACAATACATGTTTTACATTTAGCTTGGGGAAAGAAAGATGCTGGATTTTTATGTGGAATTGTTTTAGTAAAATTCGTGGTTAAAATTGATATAAAATTGGGAGCTCCTCTAAAAACTATATTTGGCTTTTCAGGAATAATTTTACAAAGTTTGTCGTCATGTTTTAAAATGTGCCAATGTTTTTTAATAATTTTTTTCATTTCACTGCTCTTATTATTGTAGTTAAAAGTAATAGGGAGAGATATAGATTCATTATTAGTTTTTGTTTTGTATATTAAAAGTTCATCCCTATTTTTGTGTTTGATCTCGATCACTTTGCCCTCACAACCAATAGATCCCTGATACCAGATCCCTCTTCATTCACAATAGATCCCTCTGCATTCACAAATATATCCCTCTAATACCAGCAGATCCCTCTGCCCTCACAACCAACCGATCCCTCTGCCCTCACAACAAACAGATCCCTCTGCCGTCACAACAAACAGATCCCTCTGCCGTCACAACAAACAGATCCCTCTGCCGTCACAACAAACAGATCCCTCTGCCGTCACAACAAACAGATCCCTCTGCCGTCACAACCAACAGATCCCTCTGCCGTCACAACCAACAGATCCCTCTGCCGTCACAACCAACAGATCCCTCTGCCGTCACAACCAACAGATCCCTCTGCCGTCACAACCAACAGATCCCTCTGCCGTCACAACCAACAGATCCCTCTGCAGTCAACAAACAGATCACTCTGATACCAGCAGATCCCTCTGACCTCACAACCAATAGATGCCTCTGATACCAGCAGATCCCTCTGACCTCACAACCAATAGATGCCTCTGATACCAGCAGATCCCTCTGTACTCCCAACTAATGCTCAAATCGAAAACTTCTTTAGGTTTGCAGCGTTCCCTGGAACTCACGCATACTTTAGACAGTGTGTACAGCTTAAACCGTTTCTTAAAGAAGGTATTTTCCACCCACTGAAACAACATGCAATCCATCCTTAATCTGTAAAGAACAGATAGCACCTTTAATGTAATTCCTCCCCATTTACTCCGGCAGGTTCCCTAGCACCTATTGTTCACATTTGTGAAACTTTTCATGTTGGAATTACTGGTATATTTGTCCGCCCTTTGTACAGCACCACAGAAAAGGTTGGTTTTAAAGACAAATTTTTCCATACAGTAATCAGGCCATAGAACTCCCACAATCAGCTATATTTTCCCCCTGTAAATTTACCTCTTCACTGAGTACTTAAAGCCCAGCTTGGTCTCATCAAAATACTTCTTCCTCAACTAGATTCTCACTTTTCAAGAAGAAACCGCTAGAATCAGCCATGTCCATAAGCTTGGGGCCATCCTTGGTTTCCATACTTCTCTCTCATAGCTCCCTACTACAAATCTCATTAGTCATTCCCTCACATTTAACCAACTTCTGAAAATCCTCTATGATACAGGACTTCGTATCTGTTCACCAAACAGCCCGATCAGTGTACAAAATAACCAGACATCTTCCCCATGAAAAGACAATAATTATACAGTCCGATGCATGGGCCAGCGTATAACCAAACATTATGTAAAGCATTAGAAATGAAATATAAACTGAATAGAACTTATTTTTTAGACGTTTTCCTTCCAATACAACTTGCTCCGTGCAGCTGGGGTGTGTGTAAACCACAACTAATGAGAGGTCGACCAGTCACCTAGTAACATCCAACGGATCTCTGATTAATTAAAGTGTGGCTACCCAGCAGTGGCCCTCAGAAAGGAATGTCTACAACACCACACATTAGGCAAGCATTCCCACTGTATACAAACTCACTTTAGGACATTGACCTTACAGGGCTGGTTTCCAATATTTACCTTCTAGGGAAGTGTGCCACCTCTAAGTATGAAGCGACCTCCTAGAATACGGTATCCGCTGGAACAGACCCTTAGGATACTGCAGACTCAGGGCTTTGCTGCCAGGATTTTCACCTCTGAGGTCTGTATCTCACTTGTCAAGTTCACTGGGTGTCACTGTGGCTTTCCCCCAGTCTTCTTTAACTGTCCCTCTTGTGGATCCTAGTTGATACAGATGTATCGTTCAGGTTTAAGTCTCTTAGGATAGAAACACTGTGTTTCTATATTTACTCGTGTAGATTTGTGCGTATGTTTATATACAATGTCCATGAACACTATAGGCAATTCTATATTGTCACTAAGGCCCTGCTATGTACCACCCCATGAAATACAGGCAAGGTCTCCTCGGGATCTGTATGTCCGACACTATGCGTACACGTAGGCGGTTTTCATATTCTTGTAAACGTTGAATTCTTTTTTTTCCCAGGGTGTGCTGGGATCCAAAACCGGTCTATTGCTGCTCTAACGTCATGTACAGATTTAGCAGTCACTCAATATTCTGTATTAATATATTTCTGTGCATATATGGTCTACGGTTACCTGCCCAGGACTAATATACACCCCTGACCTGTGTGCTGTTCCCCTTTCAGAGTCTTGTGTTGATATGCTGGCTGGCCAGGTCTGGCCCTCTATAGCTGAGTATGGAGACACTCTCTGGCCTGTCTATAGCAGTCTCTGTAAATCCCAAGGCAGTAACAGATCGTGTAAAGCAGTCTTTAAGGCCTCTACATTTGTCTGTCTCTTTGTGGCTTGGAGGTGTGTCTCGCTGTCGCCCAGGTCTGTAAGAAGATACAGCTGTTTAAGGCCAGAATAAAGCAGTCTCTCTCAGGCCTGTAGATGTGGAGCAGTCACTGCAAGACCAGTCCGTGTCACTCAGCCTGTGGAGCTGTCTCTCCGGCCCAGCAATGCTTAGAGGTCTGTCTCCGTCTGTATCCCAGGCTGGAGCGCTCTTGCCTTGTCTAAGGCCTAGGCTGCCGCTTTCGCTCAGACCAGGAGGTGTCTGTCTCTCCCTCTCTTAGGCCTGGAGCTGTCTCTCTCTCGCTGTATGAGGCCTGGAGCTGTC